AAAACTAATAATCAAAATAAGAAAAAAAATAAATCAAAAAAAATTAGTCAACTTATTTTTATTATAATAATAAACTAAATGGTTTTATTTAAAGATTCTATTCAGTTTTAGCCTAAGAGATGACAAAGATGATACTTTTCTAACCTAAAATATATAAGAATAAAAAAAAATTAAAAAAAAAATTATTTAATTAAAATTAGTCAATTTACTTATGCTATAATAACTAAATGGTTTCATTTAAAGATTCTGTTTAGTTTATAGATGTCTGTAAAAATCTCTTTAAAATAATTTCATTATACCCTTTTCTATATTTTTAATATAGTTTTGATAGTTTTAACTTTCATTATATCAAAAGAGTTTATCATATCTTTTATTATAATTTTAATATAATTTAGTTTAAGATTTGACTATTATTAAGAGATTTTGTCTCTCATTTATAATCTAGTTTTTAGTTTAAGAGAGAACTAATTTAATTTAAATAAAAAAAATTAAATAAAAAATAATAATCAATAATCAAAAAAAAGTTTTAATCAGTTTTTACTAAGATGATGAATTAAACTGTTCTGTTTAAAAAAAAATTGCCAATATTAAAAAAAAAAAATAAAAATCATAATTATGATATAAAACTAAAAATAGGGATTGGATTTGAGTTGAGTATAACTAGATCACCCATAGGTGAGCCGGATATCTGAGTCATGATTGTAAAACTCAGATAATTGTAAATGAATTAACCTGTCAGTTGATTCACCTATTGATCAATTTATTGTCATATTCAAAACTAGATTTATTTATTTATAGCATATGAAATTTATATAATTGAGTGTGATAAATTAAAATATTGATTGATTTATATATACATAAAGTTCAAATTTAGTATTTATTTTCTGTTTTATGTAAAATATAATTGAGTTGTTCAACCTTACCAATTTTGCTAATCAAATGCTAATTGAAAAAGTAATATATTCTAATAATAAATATTAAAATAAAATATATAATTTGCAATTTTATTTTTTTCACACTTAATCTTTTAAGAAATATGAATAATAATACTAAATATACTTCTGATATTGATATTTAAAATGAAGGATCTTCCAATAATTCAGTTAGAAGAAAAGCTACATAGGAACCTATAAAGAAATCAAATGCAAAAAAGATCCAGTAAATACTGATTCTAAAACCAAAAGTTAAGCTATGTTTGAAAATATTTTCAAACTGAAAATAGATATGATGTTTGTAAGATACTTATATCTTTAAAAAGTAAAGAGGTTGAATGTAAAAAAAGTTATAAGTATAATAGTAGAACTGGTAACATGAAACAATACTTTCAATTAAAACATAAAATTTTATTAGCAGATGATCTCTAATTCAATTTAGGTAAAAAATATCAAATACACATTAATAAAATAATTAAAAAAGTACTTCCATATTGTACAACTAAACAAGTAAAACTAAAAAAAGTTACAACTAAATGATTAGTTACTGATTCTTTACCATTTAATGCTATACATGAAAAAGAATATAGAAAAATGATACAAAATTTGATCTTGCATTCATATTGCCAAATAATAAAAGCATTAAAAAAGATTTTGCAATTGCTTATCAAAAAGGTATTTTAGCATTTAAAGAATTAATTTTTGTTATTTATGAGACTGTATTTATAACTACAGTTTTATGAATAATACGTAGTAATGATAAGTATATTAGTATGACTCTTCATTGGTTATCTTCTGATTTTAAGATATATAATATAATATTAGCTATTAAAAAAATGGAATATCCACATATAAGTAAATGAATTAAAGAATACTTAAATAAAAAAATTGAGGAATTTGGATTAATTGGAAAAATAGTTTATGCAATAACTGATAATAGAGCAAATATGTAAAAGGCTATTAGAATTTGAGATAATATAGAATGCCTTTCTTGCTCTACATATACACTTCAACTTACAGTTATTCAAGCTTTGAAAGCAATTAAACAATATATTAAATGGTTCAGAAAACTTGTTAAATTTTTTAAATTTTCAAAACAAAGTCAACGACTTGATTAAGCATAAATTGATTTAGCTCAAATAATAATATTAATTATTCTACTGAAAATTTATCTAAAATAGAAGTAGATAATAATAATTTAGAAATAATTAAAGAAACAGAATTTAAGATTTTGTGTACTATCAATGATGTAAAGATCTAATGGAATTCTACCTACTAGTCTTAGAAAATACTTTTAATCTTACATTTAACAATTGAATAGCTTATTGCAACCTTACATTTACAAAATGAAGATAATGCTAAGGAAGACTCTTACAAATTAAAAAGTCTTATGCTTGAAGATCATGAATGGTTATTGTTAAATAAATTAGTAAATGTACTTCAACCATTTGATGAATTAATATCTTATTTTAGCAGAATTCAATATACTACTCTTTCAGTTATTAATCTAAATATTAAAACATTAAAATTTGAATTTACTGATGATAGTATATTAACATTAGAAGAATTAAATAATATTATCAATAGAAGCAAAATTAACATTAATGAAAGTAAATATATAATAAATTATTAATATTAAACATTAAAAATTAAAACTTAACTTTTTATAAATTTTTAAATGAAATTTCATCAAATAATAAAAATATTGATGATAAAAGTTCTGAAAATGATATGAATATCTAACAATCCACTATACTTAAGTATTAACTTAGAAGTATAACCAATTGTCAAAAATTGTCTTTATCTAAAACAATAATTTCAAAAATTCAGGAAGTTATCTATAATTCTCTTTGATATTATTAGCATGATTTAGAAAATATTGGATTAATTACTACTTTATTAGATCTGTGATTGAAGTCAATGAAAGTATGGTCTAATGAAATTTGGAATGAAATAATCAATAAGTTACGTATTGAATTTAAAACTTGACAAATATAGTTACAGCTAATTAGTCATTAAATTGTGTTGAAATAGTTCTTTTTCAGCACATTCTTTTATAAGAAAAATATTTAACCATGATCAAAGTCAAGTAAATCATGAAATTGAAATTGATAATTATTTGAATAAAATAATCACATCAACCTTACCTGAAACTACTAATATTTACTAATAGTGGTATATTAATAAACACTCCTTTTCTATTCTAAGTAAAATAGCATGTAAGTATTTATAAATTTCTGTTACTTCTGTTTCAAGTTAACAGCTTTTCTCTGATGTAAAAAATTAAATTACCTCACAAAGAACCTGTTTAGCACCAGAAGTAGTGAATTAGTTACTATTTGTTAAAAGAAATAATTTATATTGTAAGGTTTGGATTTGATAAAATGTATTTAATTGTATTTATATAATAAAATAAGAGTTATTATAATAAAACTTAAAAATTTAATCATATATACTTAAATTTATCCAAGTATAATAAGTAAAATCCTTATCTAAATATAACTGCTAACCACTCAGGTAGCTTAATAATCCAATCATCAGATAATCCAGATTGTATTTTTTTGAATAGATTCAATCTCTGATTAAAAACAATAATTTTAATTTTAATTTTTTAATTTTTATTTTATTTTTATTTTATTTTTTTTAAAAAAAAAAGAGAAAAATAAAAAATAAAAAATATAAGAATAAGAAATTTATAAATGAATTTTTATTCGAAACTTTATTTAACAGTTATATGAAAGAATCTATTTCTATTGAACGAATATATAAGGATAACATATAGTAAGTAAAGAATAATATAATGTATATTGTACAAATTGTACAAGATGTTTTCATTCAGGATTATAGTAACGAAAAGATTATTTCATTCAAGGATGGAAAACCTTGATCGTTCCCTCGATGCAAAACAGAATTTTCTTATCTGGATTCAAAACTAATAACAATTAATAAGAAAAGGATTAATTCATGAACAGTTAAGCAACATAAAAAATATTGTCATTTACATACTGGTGAATCTCGTATAGATTATACTTTCAACAGTCTTTGGTTCATCAAGGTGTTACTCTATAAGCCAGGTTCCACTAAAATCAAAATTTCCTAATTCAACTGGGTAAACGAACCCACTTAGTTTGACAAATGACTCACAAAAACCAAATTCATGCTCAAATTTCCTTTAGGATCATGATAAATTTTCACATTTATACCCTTTTCAATAACTGCGGTCATATTACCAACTATGTTAACAGTGATATTTTGACCTGTGATAATAGGATCTGAAGATATCTTCATTGAAGTTAGGCTTATTGCGTAGTCTCCATCGCATATTTTAAAGTCACTTGAAGAAGGTTCTTAACATTTTCGCAATTCCAATAGAGTTGATTTAACGAATGATGATGCTAAGTTTAAGGAAATAAAGACGAAAGTAATAATTTGATTCATATTTTACAAAAATCGGAAATGAAAAGGAGCTTTAAATCTTTGTAAATGATTGAAGTTAAGAAAGCAAAAATAATGAAGGCGAAATGATGCTAGTTTTATATTCACAAAAATGAAAAACTTGAATAAATGAAATCAGATTATGATTGACTAAATTTTTCAATTGTTATTGTTTAATTTCTTTAATAAGGAGCCAACTTGCATCATGCAATTTTTTTTTTGATGGAAATTTTTGGCGGCAGGTATTTGCCTTATTATTGTGTAAAACTGGATTTCCATAAACAGTAAATTTATAATGATAGCAGATTATCTAAACAACCTCGTTATTTTATTAATAGTAGAGCTTCCTTACTTAGAAAGTTCTTAGTTATTAAAAGCAAATATGAATAAAAACATATTTAAAACGATTTTAATAATACCAAATATAATTTTCAGTTCATGCAGCAATTACATAATTACAAAAATATTTATATCTATATATCAATCAAAATTTATTTCGTTCATACCTTTATTCATAACTATTGTCAGCATTTTACA